AGAAAAGACCTGAAAGGGAGACACGTGTGCACGATGGCCCCGCCTCAAGAAACACGCCGCGAACGCCAGCAGTTCCTGCAACGTCTGGATGGCCGAGCTGCGCACGACCGAGAGCGCATCAGGAAGGAGCATGCGGCGTACCTGGCTGGCGAACGAGAGGAGGATGCTGACTTCGGAGAAGATCCAGCACCTACACGCAGCACGACAGCTCGTCCTCTGCTTCCGGCTCCGATCGGCAAAGATGCCTGTTACATGCGTGCGCAGCGACGTTCGATCTCGCAGCAGCAACGTGCTGTCGCCGCAAAGACGTTGGCAGGCTCCGGCAAGAAACGGTTGGCTGCTAGTAGGGACTTGAGCGACGATGATTTGGACTATGATCCCGATCTGCTCGACGAGGAAGCGGATGCTGATGCAGACGATGAGCGACTGGATGCAGCAGACTCCCCAGCCAAGACACGGCCGCCAAAGAAGAAGAAGAAGAAGACGGCCGCGGCGACTCCGACCAAGAAGGCGACCCCGACGAAGAAGGCGACCCCGACGAAGAAGGCAACCCCGACGAAGAAGGCGACCCCGACGAAGAAGGCAACCCCGACGAAGAAGGCGACCCCGACCAAGAAGGCAACACCGACGAAGAAGGCGACCCCGACCAAGAAGCCACGAAAACCCACCGCGTCGCAAGTTGCTAAGGCAGCGGCAAAAGTAGCGAGGACAGCAGCTGCCGAATCGCGCTGTGAAGATTCGGCGAATGCCGAGGAACAAGGGAGCATCGCTTTGGCCGAGGCCAGAAAGAGATTGGAGGCGATTGCTGAAGCGAACAAGAAGAGGAGCCGCCAACCAAGTGGGACACCTGAGAGGTACACCATGTTTTATGCTGTCAGATACTACATGTTCTCACGAAGTGTTGTTGTACGTTGCGCAGGTACATACAACATTTGGGACATACAGCATGGATTCAGCGTCGCTATGCTTTCCCTACAACGTTGTTATCGACAGCATGTATACAACATGAACAGCAGCTAACATATTTTGTCTATCGACAGGGGTTCCACCGATCCTCAAGATACGTCAGAAGCACCGTCGCTTCGAACGTTGTCTGCAGCGCCTGCGCCACCCCCGCCTCCTGAATGTCCAGCTCCTGAATGTCCAGTTGCAGCACCAGAAGACGATTGGTACGTGGCAAAGTCTTTGATGCTGATTATGTATACTAACGTTGTGCGTATCATAGTGAAAGCTCAGCATCCATTTCCCAGACTCCTGTCCCCGACGCGGCAAGCTCTACCCCTGTTTCGCCGACTTCTGCTCCAGCCTCGCTGTGTTCCGCTCCAATTTCGCCTGAAAGAACGTCGGTCTCAGCCTCTCCTGTCGCTGCCCCCGCTTCCGCTGACGAGTTTGATGCGTTGAACTCTGATTGCGAGGAAACAGAGACCGAGATTACGTTTTACGATGATGATGACGAGTGGAGTCGAGCGAGAAGTGAAGGTGATGGCTTTGCGTCGGGTGAAGACTACTGTGATGAGGACGATAGTGAGGCTGGATCAGATACTATGAGTGCTGATGAAGAAGCAGCTGGTTCGACACAGCAGTGGAGCGTTTTGGAGAAGCCGGAAAGGGTTGATTTTGTGATGGACGATGACAACATGGCTGCCATGCGAGCTAACGGGTGGAGCTTAGGTTCGTGACAATGAGGGGTGTAACCTACAACATATTCTAACATGATATATGATGTATACACAACATGTAGACCCATACAATTTCCCCGCCTGACCAACATTACCCAGGATTATATTCTGGGGAGTATGGACCAACCGACGAGGTACTGGCCCTGGCACACTCACCGCTCAAGCTATTCTTCTTTTTCATGCCGAAGAGTTTGTGGAGACAAGTTGCAAAGGAAACCAATCGCTACTTTGTGCAGAACCTCACTTCACGAGTGGAGCGTATGTTCAGCTCGCAGAAGACACCTGCCAAGAAGTCCAAAGAGTGGTTTTTGCATCGCGAGGCCAAGAAGCGGGACGTCAAGCCGCACGAGATACTGCAAGCGCTTGGATTACTGATGGCAAGAATGCTGAACCCTCACCGCCGCAGGTTACGTGATCATTGGGGCACCAATGCACTGGGAGCTATCCCACGGGGGACGTTCAACGATGTTTTGCCGCGAAACCGCTTTGAACACATCATGGGAAATCTTTACTTCACCAACAACGCAGACACGAGAGCAGTAACTGACCGCGCCTGGAAAGTCAGGTCTATCGTTGAAACGCTGCAAGAAAAGTTTCCGTTGGGTTACAAAACGTCGCCGATCATATCATTTGATGAGGGCGTTCTACCTCTGAAGAACCGGAACAATCCTACGCGTCAATATCTCAAGGCGAAGCCTCACAAGTGGGGCACAAAGCTTTTTCTGACGTGTTGTGCAGATACTTCCTACCGTATGAGGTGAGATGACCCAAGTCCTTGCGGACTCGCGGTTTTATTTTTTGACCAAGTCTATCATGTTGTATCTAATGTTGTATGTTTGTATGCTGTATCCTACAACAAGAAGACTTGAGGTGTATTGTGGCAAAGCGCAGCAGGTCCATGAAGTAGGCAACGTTCCAGACAGTCAGCGATCTGCCGATCCAAACACCGGGCCGTCAGCAGTTATCCGAAACTTGGAAGCTGTCCTGCCACCACCCGAAGATGACGTCTATCCCATTGTAGTGACGGATCGATTTTATACGTCAGTTCAACTGGCGTTTCAACTACTACGTAGGAATGTCTACAGTATCGGCTCGATAATGGGTGACAAAGTGGGCTATCCTCAGCAAATTGTTGAAAAAAATCGAGACCGACCCAAAAGCATACCGCACGGTACAACAAGAATGGCAGTGGCAAAAGCTTGCCCCCTAATGACGGCTTTAGTGTGGTGGGATAGAAAACCCGTGCAATTCTTGGGGACTGGATCGAGCCGTGGGATCGAGGAGTGTCGTACGTATATGCAAGAGGAGGGCTGTTTCCTATTCATCTAATCAATGTTGTGCTTGTTATCAGAGAGGCGTACACGTGGAGCACACGGCAGACGGACTGATGTCCCTTGTCCTGCTTTGATTTGAGACTATCACAAATGGATGGGGGCGTGGATGTCCATGACCAGCTGCGCCTCCAGCGTTACTCGCTGCAGTTGCAGACTTGGTGCAAGAAATACTACAAGTCCATATTCTTGGGGCTTGTGGATGTGGCGATTGTGAATGCGTATATCATCTTTCGTGAGGCACAGAAGCGAAATGATGGGTCTCCAATGTCGCACGCAGAATTCCTAGTGAAGCTTCATGCCCAGCTGCTTGCTCTGACCAAGTACGACTTCGATGAAAGTGTAAGTCCTGATGTTGTATCTGTATCATGTTGGATAATGCTGACATGTTGTATGACCCACATGCTGTATGTTGACAGCCAAGATCACAAGAGACCGCAGCTGGCGACGAGCTTCCACCCTTGCCACCTGACCACGAACCTCGGGAATGTCCTGAGTACCAAATCGTGAAAGGCGTGCGCAAGCGCCGGCAGCGCCAATGCAAAGTGTGCGCAATTCTGAAGCACCGGGTGGGAGAGCGTCGAGCCACCAAATACTATTGCGATGCCTGCAGCACTTCTGATAAAGCTCGGTACGTACGAATTCGATATGGCTGAAACGTCTACTAACTGTTTCTCGTTATGTACAGCATGTATCTGTGTACTCGTATTTGGCCGCACCACTATCCTGGCAACGCTCTGAGCTGCCACCCGATATGGCATCACAAGTGGGCAAATGGAGCAAAATGCCCCAGGGCGCGATGTGGACGAGGATTCCAGAATCGCGAGGCTGGAGGAAAGGGTAAGCGCCGCCGCCGAAGTAGTGATGGAGAGGAGGAGGAAGGTATTAGCGAGGGGAGCGACAGCGACAGCGTAGCGCACGACGACGACAGGGAAGGTAGCGGGACTGAGTGAGCCGATAACTGGTGGTGGATGAACGTAGTGCTGCAATATGTGCTTTTTCTTACTGTATTCAATTGATGTGTGTTTGGTTTCGCTTTTCGTTGTCTTCAAACCTCCCGGCTTTGCACCGGTTTGATAGACTTCGTACAGTCTCTTGATAAAAGATACATCGACACCTTTTTTTTAAACCTCCATCATGCTGGATGTACGCCATATTCGAGCAGTCTGCCGGTGTATATACAACTTTGATCTGGTGTACATACAACATGATGACGGGTTTTACAAATTGTCTTGTTGTGCATGTACAAGAAAGGTGCTCGAAATTATACGAGATTATAGTAAAGTCAAGTTTTGCACGGTTTTACATGTTGGATGAGTACTATGTTGGATGATTTGAAATAACGTCAAAAAACGGCTGGTGTTGGGGGGTTAAATCTGCCGGCGTAATTGTACTACTAAAGCAAGTAAGTCATTCCCTTTCGTTATACGTATAACATAGCAAATTTGCTGGCAGATACACTCGTCCATTCAGCCGGAAAATAATTAATACCTGTTGTTCTGCCCCTGCTGACCTGTTGCTCCTTCACAGCCCCTGCTGGCCTGTTGTCCACCCTGGTAACCTGTTGCACATCAACATGGAATCAGTACAGCATACGCGGGACATATCGATACCGTGAGTCCGACGAAGCTCTGTAACTCAAGGCGAGTACCATCTTCAGTGCACCAACATGTCGACAAGGTGATATGAATTGAACTCAATCTTACGAGCTTCTCGTTAGCTTCTCGTTACGAATATTTATCTCATTTCTACTATAAGTGAGCATAGGAGATGAGGAAAACACCATCTAACGAGAGTTTTGGCTACTTACCCTTTGATAGCACATGCTTGTAGATAGCATCATCTGCGAACTAACGTCTTGCACATTTGCTTTAGCATACAACCGATTACATGGGACTTCCTGAGCCAATCCGGAGTTGTGGTGGCGTATAGAGCCACATCTTGTATCAGCTCCTCCAATCCGCAGCCAGCACACTTGGTGTGATCTCTAATGGAGCATATTGAAGCAGATCGCCAACGCTATCATGATGTTAGTGGGAACGCCGTTCAGCCGAATCATAAGAAGACACGTGCGAGGTTAAAGCTGCTGATGGACTACCACTTGGAAGCAAACCCCGAGGTTCCAGGCTACAGCGATCGTAAGTTAGACAGTTCTACTTTCGCAATATAATCAACACTACGACTTCGTATTAGCAGCAGCTCAAGTTTTAAACCGGCCCAGTATGGCAGTCAACGCCGCTGTTGGGTCTAACGACGCCGCCGACAGCAACGCGGATTCTATCGCGTTGAGCGATATAGACTTTTCTGATGTGGACCTCGACCATGCGGTGGAAAGTTCGAATGATTCCGCCTTCGAGCTCGAAGATGAAGTAGAAGGAATATCGACGACTGCAAACGAAGAAGTGGCTTCGCAGCGGCCATACGTACGCGAAGCCACCTTCGACTCGTTTTCGGCAGCATACAGGGCGATGGTCGATAGAAGCGATGACGTCTATACCTACGAAACTCGATACGATTCGACTACTGGCTATTGTATATCGTTGCCGCTCGCACATTAATTGTGGGGCTCGCTTTAAAATCAAAACTGCGGCTGAACCCGAAGCCCCAACACAGTATTATCTCGAACGAACCGGAGGTCACGGATCACAGCCAGCTACGGTCACCCGTCGAGGAATTCACCCCCAGCTTCTAGACGAAGTGGATGCGTTGCTGAACATGGGTTGGGGAGCTAAGCAGCTCCGGTCTATGCTAAATCATCGATACCACGACGAACCAAGATCCCTTCGCATGGTACCGAGCTGCAAACAGCTTGAGAATCGCAAAGCATTTCTTGTTCGTTGCTCCGCTAATGGTTGGGATATCTCGAACCATGTAGCTTTTACTGCCTGGTCAAGTCAGAAAGTGTGTGATACTCGTGAAAAGTTCATGGCCGTAGACGACCCGAACGATAGACGAATGGATGAAATGATAGTGCTTGACACATTCATCTTCGATGGTCAAGCTCCTGATGAGGGTACTTCATTTGGTGCTGTGGTCGCAACACGACGAGTCTTCAGGAATGTACCCCGGCCAGTAAGAGATTAAGGTGATTCTCTCGTCTGTGCAACTGATGGAACTTATAAACTACACTTTGGAGGGTGGACTGTGGTTGACTGTGGCTCCGTCGGATTGACGTGGTCCAAAGGCAAGTACTCTCACAGGTTTATTCCGTGGGTGTATATATTCGTCAGGACGGATTCAAAAGCTGGATACGCCAAGATGTTTGAGGTTGTCTGCGAACGAGCTCTGTCGTTTCTAGGAGTGGAAATACAAATTGCGTTTGAAAGTCTCGACCACTCAGAAGCTATTGCGTCTGCTTTTTGTGAGGTATGGCCAGAGTTAACTCTTATTACGTGCTGGCCTCATATGGCGCGGAACTCGCGACAAAAAAAAACTCTATTGGTGAATGCAGAGCAGTACGCCGAGATGATTAGGCCCGTAATTGACCTCCTTCGAGCCGCTCGCACTCACAAGTAGTTCGTTAAGCTTGCGGACGTAGTTACAGAACACTGGATCACTAATGGAGAGAGTGCCTACGCGAGTTGGTTCAAAGAAGTTTACCTGAGTGAGAGATGGAATAGGTGGCATGTTAACGGGGCCGGAGTTGGAGGAGTATTACCGAGTCAACAGGAGATTGAGTCGCACCACAGCGTCATTAAGAAGACCTGCGTTCCCACCTCTCGTGCATCCATTAATGGTGTACTAAGCGGTATTCTACCTAGAATTCTTAAGGCTGATGGGGAGGATCTTTGACCTCTTAGGGTCGCTTACTTCAGCGAAGGTCCCGTTCCACCAGAAATGATGGTAAAAGCTGAACTTCTGGTTGCTACCCAACGTAACTACAAGCTCGTCTACAAAGGCAGAGGACGTTTTCGATGCCTAAGTGCTGTCGTATTTAATGTTACAAAGCATATCGTTGGTGGTCAAGGTATGCTTGGAGCTAATGTGGACAATGAACGAGTGACTAAATTCCTGAAGTCTCTCGATGGTCGTTTCCCCAGACGAATCACTTACTGGGAGCTAGAGTTTGAGCTGCTTTCTCTGCACAGAGTGATGATAAAGCCCCAAGAGTACCCACCCCCTTTCATACTTTTACCAATTTGGTCACACGAGACGATCGAACGAGATACGGAAATACTTGCAATGTACATGCGAGGCCTTTATCCGATCAGGATGGGTGTGTTCTCGCGTACTAGCTGTACTGTCCTTGTTGGACCTTTTGGATCTACGTACTGCTATAGCTACTGTTCCAGTTCGACGTACACCAGGTCGACCTCCAGCTAGGCGTCTGTCTAGCCCTGGCAACACAGAGTAACGAGGACGGGGTTTATGAGGTGAATCGACTCGTTCGACTTTTTCTCAAGCGACCGGGACAGCCACTACAATGGAAAAAAGTGGGCAATTTCAACGTTGCTCCCAACCAAACAGCCGAATCCAGCTCGGTAATTGGCGACGTCATTGCTGTACGGTTCTCAGACGGAGTGTACAAATGGTCGGTGCGTTTTGGCGACGGTAGTGTTCAGGATTATGAAGCTGAATAGCTAGCCACAGCTGTCAACCGAGACCACAACCTACACATTCTTGTTACAAACTAAACAAAAGTGGCGAAATGATTCATGTGGCAACCATACATTTGAAGATTAGAGGCTAGATGTATCGAGCGCTTCGGGTGCTGAGAACTAGGGACCTGCTAACAATTTAATCTACCTTTCAATTCGAGTATGTTAAGGTCACAACCACATTTAAAAGATGCGTGCAGCTTCAATAGTACTGATGCATACCACTGGATACATACAATGTCTCTACAAGTTGCGCTATGGAAGCACTTTATTATTTTATATGTGAGGCTTTTACTTGTCGTCAAAGCATAGGTAATAACGTAAAAATTAGTTTCATCAGCGTATAATAATTAATAATGAAGATATTAATTATATTGTGTCTCCTTCAACATGTAACACTGCAACTCGTTGAAGTTATTGTCCGCCTGCACCTTCCACAAAAACTTTCAAAATGGTTATTCCTTATGCGGGTACTCAGAAACGAGAACAACTAACAGCTGAACAATACTGACAACAGGTCAGTAGAAAACACATGTACTTACCAGGTGAACAGTGCTAGAACAACAGATTATAATTAGCACCCCATTCAGCCGGCAGAAGTGTATCTATCTGTACTCAATATAATTTGTAATGAAAGTAATTGTAGTACAATTTGCCGGTAGCATAGCTTGAAATAAAATGCGTATCCGACCAGATTAGTTATGAGGCTTGAAAGCAGCGTGAATAAGCTGCAGAACTTTGCAATAATATATACCTCGCTTTCGCATATCCCATGAGCTATGTAGTAGAGTCCTGGTTTAAGAATTGCTATTGTCCATGTATCCATGACTAGTACATGTAAGTAAAATTACTTAGTATGTGTGCGAAACCTTGGCAACTAGAACCGACTTCATTCCGGTGTATAAGTAAGTGATAAGTAAGTGTATACCAAGTAAGTAAGATGGTGGCCACTTTAAGCACTACAAGAATAATACTACGTGCATTATTAATACTTAGTGAGCTCCGACGTCCTCGTAGTTGATGCTACTAGTATAAGTGTGCTCAAGTCCGTTGTTCCAGCCACGGGGTATGTGGCATTAACCCCGTTAAACCCTCGCCGGCCTCTACGGCTTCGGACTTGCTGGCGAGGCGTCCAGAAAAGTGGACGTCAAAACCGCACTGGGTGCCCCGATAGTAAAGAATGCTGATCCCTCACCGCAGAGGATCAACACACAGGGGAGGGACACTCTTGGAGACATGCTTCCTGGCGCTGTGCAGTGACCAAACAAGAGAGCCGATTGGGTGAAGACTATTAATACTATCCCTGCTAGCTAATACTAAATTGGAGGGCATGCAGCGTGACGAGAACAGCTGCAAAATATCGAGTGGGAGAGCGACTGCGCCATCCAGCGCAGCGGCTTTATCTGCGGTCGGCCTCATGTCGCTTTGGCCTGTATAAACAACTTTTTTTTCTTAAAGGAAACGTGCTTACACTTAACAGGAAGTACTGATATTTATTTTAAAGCAAATCCGATAAGACAGCTGGATTCCTCGGTCTGTGAAATGGTAGCACGCTCTCAAAAATTGACTACAAAACAATGGGGCGGCAACATTATAGACACATCATACAACTACGAGGTGAATATGCGTGTACCAATACTCACCTGCAACGTCCAAAACGTTTCTGTAGCAACATACGACTACGTTGTGCTGTAAACTAGAGTAAACCCTGTCGCCAACACTTAGCCGATGTAGCCAAGTAAAAATACGTTGTGCACGCGGTATTCGGACTATAATTTAAGCGCTAAAATAAAAAATCACCCTTTGTGCGCAGAGTTTAAAACCTCTTTTATATAGTACGAAACTAACAACAAGAACTCGCATGGGCAGTAAGTAGTTTCAAGCTGGTTTATCTGCCCGTAATTCGATAAGTATATGGTTTCGTAAATGTTTGCTTTGTTAGCTGCTTCCTTCACCACATCCTGCATGTACTGCAGGTCGAGCCTTGACTCACATTCACTTTACACTCGGAAAACTGGATACCAGCCAGTCTGTGCCCCCCACCCACCGAGTTTGTTTTCGCGCTATTTGTACCCCTGTCCCTTTGCTTCACGAACCTTGTGTTTTATGATCTTCAACCATTCGGGATTCGTAATGTCCTTCTCCTTAAACTTTGTCACGGCCTTTTCGGGTGTGATTTTCTTCACCACAGACTTTATCTTATCCAGTAAGCCTCCGGTTCTTTCTTCCGTGAGCTCACCTTCGTCATTTCTGACACGACGCAGTAAGCGCTGGTCATGCACGTGGGTCGGAATACGAGTGTCAGCACCGTTTTCATGAATGACTTTACCCGCATCTGCAGGAAGTGCATTGGCAGTGGCATGAAAAGTGACCGCGATTAACACTGCGAGGATGCATGTGAGCCGCATTCTTGTTGTCGATCAGGAGGATCAACTGCGAGGACGCTAGAGAAGTTCTTAAACTGAGTGAGTCTAAGCAAATAGTAGAATGATATGCTTGACGAAGACAGGAATACGTGAAGGAGTCCTAGTCCAGGCCCGTCTCCATGAGCGACCCTCTGGGACCCCAGTGGGTTGGATACGGGTTCAGTGTGACACTCCTTTACGTTTGACGAATATTTGCAACGTTCAGCGAACTGTTTGATACGGAGTGTACACGACTTTATTCATAATGTAAGCTGTTAAAAGGTTATCTTGGTTATCTACAGATAAGACGCTCAAATCTTAGCGAAGATGCCGATTAGGTGGAAGTTTGCTACTGGGCGCCTGCCAATTATCACTTAAACGACCGACTTATCTGCAGCAGATAAGTCAGAGTTTAAAAAGATATATGACGGGCTTACTTCTCGAAACCTCTACCACAAATGTATTTTGACCGCTTGTTTTGTCCGGTTCGTACTGTCCTACATCAAAAGCTGATAAATAAAAAAAAATAGTTAAAACTGTACCCGACACTTTGGGCCGGACACTACGCGAAATTGCACCCTTCGAATTTTGCTCACTTTCAAATTGGCCCGTGTTGAGCGCAAGTGAACACCACGATGGCGAGCGAGGCCACAGACGACGTAGACCTGACGCTGGTTCTCTGTGCAGAGGTTCTGAAGCAAGAAGAGGAGTTGAACGACGTGCGACGTCTAGTACTTGACGTGCTGATGGCGGATGCGTGGAGAATCGCCATGAGGAGCCGGCACTACCTCACGACAAAGTGCCTTGACGCGCCGAGCGAATCGGCTTGGATGATCCTGTACAAGTATGGCAACAACGTGAACTTCCTCAATGCTACCAGTTTAACCAGGTGAGACCCTATCTAGTGTTGTTAAAATTGCACACGTTAACTAATCGCTACATGTCTGTAGACCTGCGTTCAACCAGCTCCTGCGGAGGTTCAGCAGATTTTACTTCATTCCACGCCACACTACACGTGGCCGCCCACCCAAGCTACGACACAATCACCAAGTGCTGGGTCTTTTACTTTTCTTCTACGTGGGTTCTATGGAGAAGACAACGCTGTGCTTGGTATTTGGTGTACCCCCAAGCATACTGTCACAGACACTACGTCGCGCAGAGGAATCATTGGCTTCTGCACTTAAAGGATATGCACCAGCAAGGATCTCTTGGCCTTCTCCATCTAGTCAAGCCGAAATGACTAAGCTGGTTGAAGCTCGGGAGCCCCTCCTGCAGCACACCTTCGGATTTATCGACGGAAAGAACCTGAGAGTACGTGTATGGAATTTCAAACAATTTTTATTTTACTTAACGTTTTCTGCTGTGTTGCAGGTCCAGCAGCCGTCCAACAGTGACCTGCAGAACGCCATGTACAATGGCTGGCTCCACACCGTGTTCGTCACCGGGACAATTTGCTTCGCAGCAGACGGCTGTATTATCTGGGCGAAGCACAATTGTCCCGGATCTTGGAACGACTCGGATACGTCGCTCGGCTTTCGAACCAAGCTTCTTGACCCGGTGTGCTGCCCCGACCAACGCATGAGCGTGGTGTCGGACTCAGCGTTTCCCTGCTCAACCTCAAGGGCTGGCCGCATCTTGACCCCGCTGAAGGACGGCGACCTGGACCGGATCTTGCCGTCACTTCGAAGTTCCGCCCGGACGCTCCACAATGCCATCACATCGGTGCGCCAGGCCGCCGAGTGGGGCATGGGGAGTATACAAAAGGTGTACCACCGATTGAATCTCCCCTTGCCGTACGACCCGGATCTTCGCGGGCTCCGAATTGGCAGCTTGTTCCGCATGGTCAACTACAGAGTTCGCACCGTGGGAATCTCTCAGATCCGCACCACTTTTCTAGGAGAAACGGAAGCTTTCGATCTCTATCACGTTAGTTATGAACGTTTGTGCATTTCAAGGCTTAAGAGAGAAAATACAAAAATACACTACTGAAATCGGAAAGCTGAGCCTCGTACTGATGTGCATACCAGAAGTGTCTTCGCTGACGTCCTAGGGCTTCTTCGTCAGGGCTCCGATCAGCATCACAAGCTCTTGGGTGCGAGCACGCGCCTCCTCTCGGTCACAGCGTGCGCTATCTTCCATTTCCTGCCTGTCGATGCGGCGGCGCTCCTCGGCCTGGGCTCTTTCAGCGAGGCGACGTGCTTCCATTACCGCCATATCAACTCGGCGACGCTGCTCCTCCTCTTCGCGGCGAGCTTCAGCCTTTAGCTCGTTTTTTTTCGCGTAGTAGAAGTATAGTCTCGATGATATTGCCGCGAGTATTGTTCGCCGAGTTTTCAAGTCTCTCGAGCCTCGATTTAAGCGCCGTCGTCGCCTTCATGGCACGAATTCTCTTTGCCTTCGCGAAGCTGGCCTCTTGCGTTTCCTTATCGTCTCCATGGGCACGCTTGGCTCCTGTTGTGTCTCGAATCCCGGTCAAGTCCACCCATCCTAGGCGGTTAGAGCGACTACTAAGCTCCGGGTACTTGGCAGCTTCAACTTCGTCCCTGCTTCTGGCGTCGTGACCGTGGTCCCCGTGTCGGTGCGTTCTCGCCGAAGTGTCTTGTTCGCTGGCCGTCGCACGAGATCCCGATCCAGAGCGTCTCGTAGTCGATGATGCACGTGGTGGTGCAGGGCGAGGGGTTGTACCGCCGACTTCAAGTCCTTGTGGAGAAAGTGGTGACGATAACAAGTCCTGGAACTCACCGCGGGTTGGGTCTGTAAGCCCTTAAATGACCGACCCGTCCGTACCGGTCGACTCGCTACGGACAGACCCAGCGCCGTTTCTTCCGGTGGCAGCACGAAGGATCTCAGGGACGTCCGGCTCGTAGAAGGTCTGGTCAGGCTCCGCATCGAAGCTGAAGTCCGGTTCCGTGTAGCGCTCGTCCTCTCCCGCCTCATCGTCTAGCTCCACGACGTTAGCCTTGTCGTCGATAGCCTGTTTAGCCTCCTTGGCCTTCTGGATGTGGGGAGGCATACTGGCCACCCCCGTTGGCTTGCGGGTGCTGTAAAGCTGCTTGAACTTGCGGCGTAAGCTCTCAAAGTCACGTTCGGGTGCGCCACGGGGCTTGCTAGTGTTAAACGAGGTAGCGAGGCGCTCCCACTCGTCCTTGCCCAACGGAAGTACCTTCTCGACGAGTCTCAACATGCGCTCGATGTCGGCCATTGAGTAGTTAGACGTTCCTGCGTTTCGGACCATTTCTATCATACACAAGAACAGCGGGTCAGTCAATGTGCGGTTTCATGGGCGCGAGGTCGAGTAGCAGCGTACCGATCGAAGTAGAGGGGGGGCAGAGGTCTTGTTTGAAGTGAGGATTGCTTGCCGCGAGGCGAAATGGAAAGTGAGAGACGCCAGCTCCGGGCCTGTAATTCGCACCTACAGGAGAAGCCTCTCGATCCACCAGTAGTTTATCTTGGATCTTCAAAAGGCTCTGCAGCAACTTCAACGTGGTTCGCGCTCGAATTTGCGCGCCAAACCAGCAGCTTCAACGTGGTTCGCGCTCGAGTTTGCGCGCGAAACCAGCAGTTTGGCTCTTGAACACTGCAATGGAAGCCAAAGATGGCGCAAACATTCACGTCAAGGCGCGGGCGTCACAGACACTTACACGTTAGCTATCTAGGCTCACATCGGAATCTCTGGGTACAGCTATACCAAAAAGGCGCAAAGTTAGCACCCAAAGATATTCATATTAAGCACCAATATGCCTGTGCACACGATGGCTGCCCTCTTTTCACGGATCGTCCTGATCCTGGATGTCCTGGTGGCGGCAACCGTGCCATCCACACTGACAGACAAACCATAGGTCGTCCCCATAGTCGACGGTCACCTCTTGGCCGCGGCGCACGGCATGCGTTGTAGCGACGACCACGGTTGTGCGTCGCCCATTTGAAACCTCCACGAACTTGGCAACCGGACGGCATGAGTGGTTTACAAACCTCATTAAGCTGCCCATCTTCTCTGCGTTGATTGCCACACGCACAGGGTAACTCGGGCGTTCTGGGCGTAGTTTCATTACAAGACGGTATCCTTGATTGCGTGGGCGCTGTGAGCGCGAGACGCTCAGGTGCTCGATCTCGCCCAAGTATTGCCCCAACACTTCTCCTGGCTCGATGTTTTCAGCCGCCACCACGCCCAACACCTCTGTGCGTACGTTCTTGCCCAAAAAAACCTTCTTCGACACGCCGAGTTCATTCCCGCACAGGCCCTCGTATGGGCAGCTGTTAATATTGCAGTACAGGTGTGCAAGCGAGTTCCTGCAGGAATCGGCACGACAAGGACTTGGCCAATCGCACCATCCGTAATGTGGAACCGCCGGAAAGACGGTGGCCAAGGGGTTGAACTGCTCGCGGAGGTGAGCGACACTTCCCGGCCATCGTGCTGGCACGAACACGTCGTCAGGCCGAGCGGTCTTCAGCATCGAGTGTAGTCTCTCCGACGCAGTGGTAGCACACAGCTTGGCGCCACTGGACTCCGCACGCCGTTTCGAATGCGCCCTCGAGTAAGGCGCGACAGCTTCTCAACGTATACCCCGTCCACCCCGATTGGCCTTCAGTGACTTGTTCGCGCTTGGGTGGAGAGGCGACCGTGGTGCCGTCCCCAAGAGCACCGGAGACGATGTTGTCGGGCTACGAGGTGCGAATTGCACCGGATAAGTCGGTGGCTCCGTCGACGTCTCGCTTGGAGGGCTTTTCCTGGGATTTCTTGGCTCTGGAGGGCTCCTCAATGATGTCACAGTCCCGGTGTAGCTGCATTAGAAGCTTGAGTCATTGTAGGGGATCGACATAGCGTTGGGCGGCGTGTTCTCATCGCTGGAGACGTCATCAATCCACAGACGTCTCTTGTGGACGGCCGAGTACAGCGGGTTTACCATGCGTCTGAACAAAACAGTTTCAATTAACTACAAACGAGCACTAGAGTTGAAACATACACAACGAACCTCGAAGCTGTCGCTGTCTTCGCCCTTCGG